GTAGACGTCGTGGTTCTACGACGACTAGCGTTCGGTAGGGTACCGTACGGGTTCCGTAAGTACCCACGTAACGTACTACCACTAAATAAAAAAAAAAAAAGAATTTAAATATGTAACCCAGCCCTTTTCTTGGAGTTCCAATCCCAAGGCATCCAACTGCCAGTCCAGCCTCATGATGTGACTGTAGCACGTACCAAACCAGGCTCGAGACCTTCCCCCCCGAGACCCGGCTTCCTCCCGGCCTCCACATCTCAGTCGGCCGCTCACACCCCCAGGCTGCGCTCACCGGGAACCTGAGAGCCAGTCCTGACCCCACCCCCAGCCCACTTCGCCGTCACCAGATCTTGCCGCGTACCCCTCACCTGATTTCCACACCCTTCACTCCTCTCCAGCCCCACCACCACCACCCCAGACCTGCCTGCCGTCTTTTCTTACCGGGGCTACCGCTGAAGCCCCCCAGCCGACCCGCCACGCTGGCATGGCCCCTCAGCCCCTCCTCGCACCGCAGCCAGAGTAAGCTCTTCACAAGGTCAGTCTGCGCATTTCTTTCTCCAGCTTAAACCCCGGAGAGGGGCTTCCCTGCTCTCACGGTAAGAAACAGAGTACTGGCTGTGTTCTCCGAGGCTCCGGGTGGTCCAGCCCAGGCCTGTCTTCTCAGCATCCTCCCCCTGCCCCCACCCCAGACACACCCCCCTTCTTCCTTACCCTCGGCCAGCCTCCCAGCCCTCTCTGTCTGTTTATCATCGCACATATCGTCATTTTTATCTATTTTTTCAAGTCTCTGATGACCTGTCTGCTCGAAAAGCCTGTTTTCAAAATCAGGGTCCAAGTCATGCATATTTTGCTCCATATTTGACCCCCAAGCATTTAGCTCCCATGCAGCACGTGTTCCTCCCACGTCTATTGGATGATGGTCTGGCTGGAGATGTCAGATTTGTGATGAGCCAGTCAAACCCAGGGAGCGGACGAGAACGAGGAGGGAAGAGGGTCAGAGGAAGACTGGGAGCGTCCATCCGCGGGGCCCAGGAGGAGTGTGCCGGGCCGTGAGGCTGTGGGCAGTCAGACCAACGGGGAGCCATGTAAGCGGCTCTGGAAAGTCCTCCCCTCAGCGCCGGTTACTTTCTGCAGTTGTACCTGCGTCTCCTGAGGAAGTAACAGAGCTGAGTACGGAATTTCCCGTCATCCTCTCCTTGTGGAACAGAGACTTGCTTCACAGCCTGGGGTTGAATAAGGACCTGTGAGCAATTGTCACTGAATCCTCTCCTTGGCCCCTCCCCAAGGAGACCCCAATTCCCTGCGGGATGGAGCACAGGTGTGTCATGCACTTATCTTCCAGGTGCAAAGGATCACTCTCCGAGAGGCTGCAGGAGAGCAGGTAAAGGGCCCACCCGGGTGAAGTGGCTGTGACAAGCCGCCTCCGCCTTCTGAAAGCCGCCTGAGAGTCACCCCCTCCTGCCCCTGAGAAGGATGGCGTCACTACCCCACGGACAGGGAAGCCAGCACAACAGGAACACGGAGCCTCAGGAAAGTGATGCCAGATGCATGCAGGACGCCCGCCTGAGCTTGAATCTCAGATCAACAGCAGACTCTCAGTATCAGTATGTCCATGCAATGTTTAGACATGTTTACACTAAAAAATTACCCATTGCTTCCTTTTTTCCTTTTTTTTATTGAAGTCTGGTCAGTTTACAATGTTGTGTCAGTTTCTAGTGTGCAGCACACTGTTTCAGTCACACAAGAACACACATATATGCCTTCTCATATTATTATGGGTTACTACAAGATAGTGAACGCACTTCCCTGTGCTCTACACTATGAACGTGTTTATTTTATATCTAGTAGTCAGTATCTGCACGTCTCAAACTCTCGGTTTACCCCTTCCCCCTGGTAACCATAAGTTTGTTTTCTATGTCTGTGAGTCTGTTTCTGTTTTGTAAATAAGTTCACTTGTGTCTTTTTTTAGATTCCACATATAAGTGATATTATGCGGTATTTTTCTTTCTCTTTCTGGCTGATTTCACTTAGACTTATGATCTCCAGGTCCATCCACGTTGCTGCAAATGGCACTATTTCATTCTTTTTTATGGCTGAGTGGTATTCCATTATATAAATATACTACATCAGAGCAGCACTATTTACAGTAGCCAAGACATGGAAACAGCCTAAATGTCCATCTACAGGTGACTGGATACTCATTGCTTATTGGAAATTCATATTTCCTAAGCATGCCGTGTATTTATGTGCTCAGCCTGGTAACCCTCACTGAAGTCTGCTCGTTCATGCTTTGATTCCTTCGTTCATCAGCCCTCCCATGAGTGCCAGCTGTGGGCCAGTCTCTGCTCCAGCTACTGGCCCTGGGCAGTAAACAAGGCAAAATGCCTCCTGGGGCTCTTGGTCCATGATTAAGAACCAACCCAGGTGCCCGTGGCGTCTGGCAGCTGCCCCTCCGAGGGTGGGGCGACCTGCCTCTTTGCACAAGGTGTCCTCGGTCACTTACTGTTTAAAATTCCAGATTTGCTCCTTTTGAGTGTTATTACTACTCTGTTCAATTCCCAGTACAACGGCGGTCTGTAACAGAGGCTTAATCAAGGAGGGGGTTTAAGGCAGGTCGGTGCGACCATTTCCCTGAAGGTCTGCAGTTCCAAGGGCCACCCTGAGGTGTCTTTGGAGGGGCCCCTCAAGTCCTGAGGCCTTTGCTGGTAAGCTGGAGCATCAGAATCCTTTCTTTCTACCTCAAAGCAAGGGGGAGGATGTATAAACACAGCTCGGTGTTTCCTGGAAGCTAAAGCCTTCCTAAAAATCCATCTTCAAAGCCCATACTTTTCAACCAATGAGAAGCAATTCCTTCACCCCAAAAGCCAGGAGTCTTCTGCAGTCTCCAGTAAAGGGAAAAGCGCGACCCGTCCCATGCAGGCTGACAGTGCCACCCAGTTCAGGAAGGAGGAAATGATCAACAGTTTCAGTCTGCAGTTTGGAAAGAGAGGGGTGAGATCAGATAATGCTGGCCTGTCCCTCATTTCTGCTCTGGGAAAAAATAAAGGGTGTTTATGAGAACTGTCCTCTGTTATTAAACTGAGATGATTGCTCCAGCCCTTCTCAAATGCTTTGCAATATTAATTTTTCACTAATGACATTTTTAATAGACTGTGTGATTCATCCCTGGCCGAGCCTTGCTCCAGCTGCGTCAGTGCGTGGGGCGGTAGCAGGCATGGCCCCAGTCTCTGATGCAGATGGGAGTCGCTCGTTACCCACTGCCGGGGCCAATTTGCATCTCTGATTTGCGAGCGGTCTTTCTCCAGCTGTTACCTCAATTTGTCCTTGCAGCCGCTTCCAGCAGTTCTGGAGAATTTTATATAGTAAAACTTTGCAAGGTCCCCGGGAGCGGAGGTAAGGGGACACTGTGGGAGACCCCGGAAGCTAGTTTCCACGCTGTCACGTCACCAGTGAGGAGTGCACACATCACTCCTGAACCTCTGAGAAGCCCCGGAACCCGGCACCGTGACCTTAACTGCACAGCCGCCAGCACACGTCAATCACAGCTTGTAAGGAGGAGACCCATTTTCCACAGAAATGTGGAAAGCAAGCAAACAAGGACAGAAACACAGGTGAATGAAAAGAGATTTCCCACTGTCCGCAAGAGGCAGAATTAGCTTGAGGGGTTCATCTCAGAATCCAGCCGTTGACCTGTGTCCTCTAATGGGGACCCAGTAGGACAGCTGTGGAAAATAAAAGCTTTGGAATCTGTCAAGAAAAGACCCCTGTGGTGGAATTCTCCTTTAGGACCAGGGAAACTTTCTAGGCAGCTTTTCTCAAGAATCAGGTTTAAATTTTTCTGGGGTTCCAAGCCAGGCTCCAAAGGTGCAGGGACTTCTCTCCAAAGCTTAGGGCCAGTGGAGACGGTGACAAGGGTCCTTGAAGGCCCCGACGATGTTGACTGAGTCCCTTTTCTTGGTGAAGCCCCGGGCCAGACACTCAGTGTCTCACTCACCTCGTCTCTCCTGCCGGGAGAGACCCTTCCCAGTTTACAGATGAGAAAACTGAGATTCCGAGAGGTAGTAACTGCGCCTGTTGGGTGAGCTGGTAAAGTGTGCCCTCAGCCTCCCTGAGGAAGCCTCTCTCGGCTGAGGTGCCGCATCCTCCCCGCCCGCCTGCGGTGTTTGAGGGCTGCAGCTGCGCCTCAAGTGGCCGGAGCTGAGGAGCCACCTCCGGGAGGAGGCCCACCTGCGGCCACCCGACCGCACCTGAAGCCAGTTCCCTGCGTATTTAAGGACGCCGAGCGCAGGCCCGCAGGCTCTCGGGAAGGAGGTGAGGGCTTCCGGCCGCGTCATGCGGTGGCTGCAGTCCGTCTGGCTCTGCCTCCCGCTGTCCCTGGCTCTGAGCGGCCAGCCCGAGCCCAGGGGGCCTGGTGACCCTGGTGCTCCCCACTGTGGGCCCGAGGGCTTCCTGTTCACAGGGAACCTGAGCCTGGAGACGGCCGCTCCTCCCGCCCTGGTAGCTTGGGGTAAGCGACTGTAGCCAGCCCTGGCCTGGCTCCCGGCCGCCTGAAACGGCCCGCCAGCTGCCCTCCCCCGGGAACCTCTGCCGAACCCTGCAGCCTCTCTCCCTAGAAGGAACCTTCCGAGACGCAGCTTGGCTTCCGAACCCGATTCCCCTCCTTTCCTGCCCTTACCTGGCGCTGACCCCGGCGCCGAGGCAAAGCTGGCCGTCCTGAGGGGC